AGGGACTGTGTATTTCGGGACAGCTGTAAGGATTCTCACCTCCCTGTTTTTCTGCTGGAATCCCCACGCCGCTGCAGGAGAGCTCAGCTGCTGAAGGGCAGCTGCTGAAGGGCTACTGATCTTGGCTTAAGAAAAACAGGTTTGCACCGGGTTGTAAACTGCTGCATTTCAGTAGCCACCCATGCCACCGAGGAACCAGCGAGGGAAAGGAGACGAAAACTGCACAAAGGTAAGCTGACTGATAGCGACCCTTGACCGCGGTAAAAATCCCCGTGTCCAAAAGTAGGGCTAAAGTTTTAACTACGCTCATTCAAAGTACTCTTCAGGATTAGAGCTTAGGCGTAACTTGCTTGTTTCAGGGAGTTTTATTTATTTATCCATCTAGAAAAACAAGCAGTGAAAAAGAACTTAGGTGGTCAGGAGCTAAGTATGCGTTTGTAAGAAATGTTATTAATGGACAGGGCAACAATTTCCACCCAAACTGTGATCCTCTCTCACACCACTGAAATAGCCTGCCCAGTCACACCAAGTATAGCTACCCAGCTAAGTCTGAACCTCTGGATTCTCTCAATCAGTATTATTACATGTACGAACGCCACTATTTTATAAATGTCAAATGAGTCCACACTCTACTAATGCCAGCTCTTTCCCCCTCCTCCTAAATATCACACACCTTATGTGAAACAAATGTTGAGAATATTACAAATCAAATGCATGATTTCCCACTAATCTCAGTGGGAGTTTGTAAAATCCATTAAATGCAGGATGGTTTCCCCAAGAAAAAAAACCTGCGCAAGTTCCTGTTTCTCAAGGTTAGTAGTCTAATAAGATCTCTGGGTTTTAACAACTTAAGACTTCGTCACAGTTGAAAGTTTTTTCTTCTACGATTATACAGCTATGTTTTTATATTACTATCATACACACACATTTACACACACTCATACATTTAAATGCTTTATTCTACTATACATATATAGTTCTACTAATATAAAATGTTGTTTATACTCTTTGTTTTAAAATAAGAATATTCACAGGGGGAATTACTCCAGTACAGAAAAGGCAGTAAAATTATATAGTTACAGATCGTTCAATGTATCTCCAGGTATGCATGAACTCATTTAGAAAACTTTTGCTCTGGCACAGAAACCTCTATTTTTCTTATTCCCCTACTGTTTAATTTAAACCATACGAGAGCTCTTAATGTGTACTCCAGGTATCCTAAAAACAAGCCACCGAGCCATTCTGGTGAGACTGGAGAAAAGCAAATGACCTCCTCTGGAAGGCTCAGCCTGCAGCAGCTCGGGCTACAGCCAGTTTATCTCTGCAGAACTCCCTCACCAGCTGGGCCTGTCAAAACGGGCATTTTCCACGACAGATACACAAAGTGTATTTCACTCCCTCCTTTTTTTTTCCTCAGTTAAAATAAATAGTGTGTTGTACCCAAACAGGAAGACTTTTTTCCCTCTGGTTAAAACCTAAGTAAGTAATTTTCCCATTTGGATTTGTCTCATTTTCTTCTCAGCTCCTTTCCATTGGACTGACAAAAAAGACGGGTGAGACAGGAAGGTTCCACAAACTGAGCCTTAGTAATTCCTGTTAAATTAAAATGGTTTAAAGACCCACTGTGGTGGCTGCTGTAGAGCTACAGAGTTAAAAGAAGGGGGGGAAGTCTCACAAAAAGAGAGAACACCCTAAGCAAATGCCAAATATGAATTCAATTATCTTCCAAGTTTAGTCATTTTTGGTTTTTTCCTACCGTTTGCTTACGATAGTAGAAATGTTCTCTACCCTCTCTGCTTGGAGGCTGCGGTTTCTCAGGACGAAGCCTCCTGCAGCTTAAAACATACCTGCTCGACTGCCAGCTCCCCCGGCCCCTGCCAACTCCGTCCCCCGGCCGCACCCTACGGCTGCACCCCCACATCCTTGGCACCGCTGACCGCAGGCTCACACAGAACATCTCAAGGGCCTAAACTGGCTTACAAGTATGAAGACTTTCAGAAGAATAATAATCATTAAGAAGCAAAGGCATGCACATTATAATTGTTATTATTTTGCAGCTGCCCTTTAAAGCAGGGAACGGGAACTAAGGTGATGCAGTTAATTAAAACTAACTGAAAGTAAACATGGCTTAGTATTCAAACACAAACATTTTATAACATCTTCAGAAAGGAAGTGAAACCTGCAGGTGGGAGCATTGTTTCAAGCTGACAAAAAATTTAACATTATATTCCTTTATGCAAAACAATTGTACAGCAAAAATTGTCTTTAGAACACCTGTTCAAACATTAATTAGTAGAGAAATAAAACACAAAGCCTGGACAAACATTCAAAATTCATACTATAGCAGAGCCTAAGCAACCAACCAAACTGCTGTCACAGCCAGACTAAGCAAAAGAAGCTTCAATACACTGTTATTTACCTGATAGCAAACTTAAATGGATTCACTAAGAAGTGCTGGTGTAAAAATACATATAGAGATGATAAAAGAGAACTGTACCCCTGCTGATCCAACTGCATGACACGGTCACATGAAAGGCACGAAACGAAAGTGGGGGAAAAAGCACAGGACACGCATCCCACGGAACAGGCAGCCTAATGCCAGCAGTGCCCTACCCACCACGTCTACGCTGGCGATATTCCACAGACGCTCCACTTACTCTGTGCGAGAGTGAAGCCCAGAGGATACTGGAACCAGAAATGGCTCCGTGTATGCCCAGAATCCAGTTCTCACCTTTGCACATGAAGACACATATCCACAAATACATTACTTTTGAAAAAATTATTTCCTTTTGGAAAGAGCATTGTCCTTAAGCTGCACCCAGCCACCGATTTAGGGCATGCAACAGGGCCCTGTAGCAATATATTGCCCTGCTATTCACATACATGCCATAACGCTCAGTTCCTGTCTTGCTTTGCTCGTTTTTCATCATCCCGTGATTTTTTAAATAAATTTCTCACTAGAGAAGAATAAAATCTCCTCAAACTCCCTCTTAAAAAAAAACCCCATGCATTACTTTAAGAGAGCAAAAAAGAAAAGCAGACTGTAAAACCAAATCAGATCAAACAATCCTGGCAGTTGCAGCAATGTGGCACTAGCAAGGATACAACAGGGCAAAAAGATCACATTTTCTTTGTTAATTCTGCTTCTACCAATTTTCTGTTTACATTTCTTGCTTGATGACACATCCTTTTTCAGAAATACGCACGCTTCCATCACAAAACATTGGGAAGACAAATAAGGGCCCCCTCTGAAGTTACCACACGCCCTAGTCTCTCCTCCCCAGAAATAACTCTACTGTTCTCACCACGACACAAACCCACAGCCACAGTCGGATCTTTGCTTCCTTGCTTTCCTCTACCCACAGCTCCAGAAGCCTGGTAGGATCCTGTCTTTTCTTCTTCAACAGGTTTTCTAAAACCCATCATTTGCTATCCAGACCTACACCTGAACTCACCTCCTGCATTGCAACATTGTTTTCTTGGCTTCCATCGTAAATCTGAGACTAATCCCCTTCTAATTTTGCTAAATTTTTATCTCCTTTTCAGTATGCCACACTCTTCCTTGAAACCAAATTACTGATTTTAAGAAAGCTGCAGTATTTCAGTCAAAAAATCCTTTAAAGTACTACCACTAGATTGTACTTTACGGTTTCAGTATTTATTTCAATTATACAACTTCTCTAAACAAGTAAAATATTTTTAAAGACGTGTCAAGTCAGTATCGTTTACGAGAGGCACAAATTATGAGGGAAGCAGCTGTATAAATGTTTGTGAGTTTTTTGAAACCATGAGTAATTTTTACAACATTGAGCGCTCCATTTAGCTGGTCCTAAAATCAGCCCCCACTGAAATCACTGTCAATAAGAAGGGGTTCTTTAAAATTGTTTTCTAAATTTCCGGTTTTTGTTGTGAAATTATTCTCTACATAGAATTTAGAAGTGCAGTGTGGAGTGCAAAACATGCAATGGGAATTTGCTGACAAAAGGTCTGAAAAACGAATCAGTAAATATCTCTAAAAGAAGAGTTACATTATCGTTGTAGTAATAAATCAAACGTAAGTTATGAAAACTTTTTCCACCTCGGAAAGTCACACGCACAACATCCTTCAGCATCCTTCCTAAAGGCAACTCGAGGAAGACTGTAACCACACGAAATCCTATTAGAAGGTGCTGAACTCCTGCATTGTGACTCTTCCGGCGGGCTTCTACATAACAAAAATGCAATGAAGTTCCATACAACTTTTTCCCCCTTATTATGCAAAATCCTTATCAAATTCAATAGCGTGACATGGTTCAAACCCCTGACTAACAATGGCACGCGGGAGGTCAAGAGATGTGCTCTTTGTTTTAGCTTCACGTGCTTTTCAGTCTATTAAAGTAAAAAGAAAAGGAACCTCCACAGAAATAACCGATAAAGATCGGACCTAGCTGCACAATGGGAAGGAAATTCCCAGTTGAAGCTGGCGCTCGGCTCCCAGCGCGCCCCATTGTGCCCGGGCAGCGGGCGAGCCCGCGGGCCACGCCGCGCC